AATGGGAGCAGGTGTCACTAATAAAATAGCAACCCTACGGGTTTCAACCATCTGCAAAGTCCTCTTTAAGGGCAAATGATCCAATGTAGTGAGGGCACGAGCATGAAATAACCACCATGTGCACTAGATTAAAGGGACACTATAGTCACCAGAACAACTACAGCTTATTGAATTTGTTCTGGTGAGTAGAATCATTACCTTCAGGCTTTTTGCTGTAAACACTGTCTTTACAGACAAAATGCAGTGTTTACATTACAGCCTAGTGATAACTTCACTGGCCATTACTCAGAAAGCTGTTAGAGATCCTTCCTGGGTCATGGCTGCATAAACTGCATCCAGACATTCAGTGTCTCCTCCCTCTGCATGCAGACACTAAACTTTCCTCATAGAGATTCATTGATTCAATTCATCTCTATGAGGAGATGCTGATTGGCCAGGGCTGTGTTTGAATCATGCTGGCTCTGCCTCTGATCTGCCTATTTGTCAGTCTCAGCCAATCCTGTGGGGAAGCACTGTGATTGGATCAGGCTACCACTTCTGATGAGGTCAGCAGACTGCATGCTCTTTTCCTAAAAAAAAACAAGCTGAGTTACAGCTTCTGGCTTGAATACAGTAAGATTTTGCTATATTTATGGAGGCATGAGGGACCCAGGGGGGCTAGATGGTGATTTTAACACTGTAGGGTCAGGAATACGTGTTTGTGTTCCTGACCCTATAGTGATCCTTTAACACCAAGCTATGCCAACATCATCGTGGATTGTTGGGAGAGAAGATACATTTGGGAGGATAATTCTTTTGGTGCAAACGTAGTGCTTTGGCTTCAAAATATCAATGATATTTTGGTGATTTGGGATGGTCCCCACTTACTTTCAAATAATCTTACTGATTGTAATAATAGGAACTCTTTTTGATTAGTATTTACTCATATTTATGGTTATGACCAAATAAACTTTTTGGACCTCTCCATATACATTGACAATGTTCACATGAAAACAAATACATTTTTAAGCCTACAGATGTCAATGGGTACATAGAGACTAATAGTGGACACCCTCCCAGGTGGTTAGCAGTCATCCCAAGGAGAGATGACTTGGTCGTAACTGTAGATACAGAAAACAGTATTTTCCCAGGCTAATCTTTAAAAACATAGATTTTTAGAAGGATATGACAAAAAGTTTCCAGATTACACTTTTGAGAAAGCCTTTTTAGAGGTGAAACATGTTTTTTATTACCTAGATTGATTTTATATATACTTATTTTGGCAAATAAAGTAGTTGTTTATATTATAACATCTTCTGAACTTACCACTGATCTTTCCTGCCGGAGCCCAGATTTATTTCTCCTTGGTGAGGAGCATTATACCTAAGTGCTATGGATTAAGGAAAACCATATTTTTGCTCTTCCTTTGGGAATACCCCTTTTCTCTTGTTTTATTATTATTTGTTTTAGCAGTGTACACTATATATTGTTTTTGTTTTTATCTGCATAAAACCATCACGTCATTTGCAAGTTCATAAAGTCTTCCGCTGGGACATATATCATCCTGAGCTAACCTGCCTCCCTGAGGTCACCACGTACCTTAGCACTTTATTAAAGAAGAGACCAGCCATCCTTAGATGAGGATCATAGCGCAAGGGCACTACATAGTAGAGCTACTTGAACTCTACACTTAGTAAGTTCCCTTCTTCTTACTCTGAACTATTTCTACAAAATGTACTACACTATATTTTGTTGTACTTTTTCTCTTTTATATATCCAACTACTTACTGAGACTACTCCTACCTCTGAGATCAATCCAAGGCACTACCTCCTCCTTCTACCATATGCATTTTCTTTTTGCATGGAACAGAGAGACTCTGGTTTCGGTGTTTGAGCTGCCTTCAACTGTATGCACTAGAAACCTATATTGTAAATAAATACTTTTTTTAAGCTTACACATTCCAATGAGTACATAGAGAGATAGTGAACACCCTCCCAGGTGGTTAGCGGGCATCCTAAGGAGAGCAAAAAACAGAAATAATAGGTCGCGCTTCAACAAATAAATATAATATATTAGCATACACTAAGAAACGTAGAGAATTTTTTTTTTATAATTAATAGAATGAATAATTAATAGTCCAAATACTTGGTGTACTTAAGATAAATTCCAATAGATAGATGAAGATCTCAGTCCTTTTTGTTCGTCTCTTACTGTATTCGGCAAAGGGGTAATGTATTCAATGAGAAACAGGATCTCCTAATGCGAGCGAAGTCTTGACTCGATGGTAACCATGAAAAATAAAGAAAACAGGGAGAATCCAATAGTGTAGATTGTCTGTAAATAACTGAGAGTATGAGGAATAATAGGGAGGTAATACACTCACCTATTTCTGAGCATATACTTGCTCTAGTATATTAGGCATTCAGTGGCGTTTGTCCCCCACTGGTAGGATATAGGTGAAGATGATTCCTCCGTATAAGAAAAGGAATAAAAAACACAATATAGTGCTCACTGGGTATAAGTAAAAATAGATAAAATGAGAGAATAAAAATACTCACATTCAGATGAGCAGAATAGACTGCTCAGTATAAACGCACGAGTGGTACAATCCCCACCCAGGATTCTTGGCTGTATGTAGACTCCAAGGTGAAAAGTGACCGGGTACCAGGAAATTAATAAAATGAAATAAAAAAGGTATATGGCAAAAATATGATAAAAGAGCCAATATTCCTTTATTAATACAGTATAAAATATAAATAATAGCCAAAACGCATTTTGCCACACAGGGCTTTATCAACTGGCAATAGTAAAAAACAGCCTGGTACATAGATACTTATATAAACTTAGATAAAACATGTTAATTCAAATTTTGGCGCCAAAATGACGTCATCAGTGCAATGAATAAAATTTTAATTTTAAAAAACCATTCAAAACATAAAAGAAAAAATACATGATATTAATAAAACAGTATATGTGGTAATCATTAAGTTTTAGAATTAAAACGAGTATTATATGCAGAAATAAAAGGATAAAAAAGAATAGGAAGTCATGTGATCGCAATATGACGCATTTGAAAAAGACAGTAGTCAGACGGAGGTCGGCAACTAGCAACACGCCTCCGTCTGACGTCTGCTGAAGGGGCGGCAACATTCGCCGCAAGTGCATGTGGGGCATGTAGTGATTCGGACGGAGGCTAACATAATAAAACACGCCTCCGTCCGACATTTCACTGAAGGGGGCGGTATGAAGTGCCGCTCATATATGGCTGTATGCAAATTAAACCCCATATACCTAAATACAATAAAACAAATAGGGACAGTAACACATTGGTGTAATTTGCAAAAGAAAAAAAAAATATAAATAGGTGAGTAAACATTATAATTGTCACAGTGAATACTGACAATAGGTAGATAAAACATCTAAAGAGAGAAGAGCAAATGCTGATGAATAAAAATGAATATACAAATAAATGTAAATTTAAAAATAAAAATAAAATTAAAAATTAAAAAAGAAAATAAAAATAAAAATAAAAATAAAAATAAAGAATAAAAAAGAAATAAAGATGAAAATGAAAATAAAAATAAATAAATATAAAAATAAAAGTAAAAAAATAATAAATAAAAAAGAAATAAAAAAGAAATAAATAAAAAATAAATAAAACAAAAATAAAAATAAAATTAAAAAATAAATAAAAATAAAATTAAAAAGAATATGTAATACAAAAAAAAAATGTAACATTTTAATATGGCTGGTTTATAAAAAATTAAAAAGGTCAAATTCAGCATTTAAACCCTCAGGAAAGAGAGGTTTAAGTTGAAAAACCCAATACATTTCCCTTTTTCCTAAAGCTTTAGTTATATCTCCACCTCTCCATGGGAGAGTAACTTGTTCAATCCCAGTGATTTTTAAAAGGGTAGGGTCTTTATTATGTGTAAGAAAATGCTTAGAAACTGAGTGGTTTTCGTAGCCTCTTCTAATATTGCGGCAATGTTCTGCCAGTCTCACTTTTAGGCATCTTTTAGTCATGCCCACATATTGAAGTCCACATGGGCATTCCAGTAGATATATAACATTTCTGGTATTACAGCCTATAAATTCTTTAATTGTATAGGAAGTTTTAGTGATGTTAGAGGAAAAGTGAGTAATTTTAGAGTTTTTAATTTTTTTTGTGGTTCTACACACAATGCATTTATTGCACTTAAAACAACCTTTCGGCCTAGATAAAAAGTTTTTATTTTGTAGTACATTCTCTTTCGTATAATTTTTTGTAAGGATTGTTCTAAAGTTAGGAGCTCCTCTGAACACAACATTGGGTCTGTCTGGGATATAATCTTTTAGAAGATTATCCTGTTTTAGGATATGCCAATGTTTGTTTAAAAATGTTTTTAAAATTTTATTCTTATTATTAAAATCCAATATAATAGGTAGTTGAGGAGGGTCTACTTTTTTAACCTTGTATTCGAGAAGCTCCTTTCTTTCCTTCTTTTTTACTGCCTCTAGGGCTGTATTTAGCTTTTCTGCTTCATAATTTTTATCTAAGAACATATTTTTCAATGAGGTAGACTGAACGTTAAAATCAGCTTTTTGAGAACAGTTTCGGTGAAGGCGGAGAAATTGGCTTTTTGGGATACCACCCAACCAGGGTTTATGGTGACAACTAGTTTGATCAATGATCGTATTGGTGCAAACTTCTTTAAAGAAGGTTTTAGTTTGGATACAGCCATCTTTTATAAAAATATTTAAATCTAAAAAATTAACTGACGTATTGCTAAAATCTGAAGATAAAACTATAGTATAGTATAGTTTTATCTTCAGATTTTAGCAATACATCAGTTAATTTTTTAGATTTAAATATTTTTATAAAAGATGGCTGTATAGTATAGTTTTATCTTCAGATTTTAGCAATACGTCAGTTAATTTTTTAGATTTAAATATTTTTATAAAAGATGGCTGTATCCAAACTAAAACCTTCTTTAAAGAAGTTTGCACCAATACGATCATTGATCAAACTAGTTGTCACCATAAACCCTGGTTGGATGGTATCCCAAAAAGCCAATTTCTCCGCCTTCACCGAAACTGTTCTCAAAAAGCTGATTTTAACGTTCAGTCTACCTCATTGAAAAATATGTTCTTAGATAAAAATTATGAAGCAGAAAAGCTAAATACAGCCCTAGAGGCAGTAAAAAAGAAGGAAAGAAAGGAGCTTCTCGAATACAAGGTTAAAAAAGTAGACCCTCCTCAACTACCTATTATATTGGATTTTAATAATAAGAATAAAATTTTAAAAAATTTTTTAAACAAACATTGGCATATCCTAAAACAGGATAATCTTCTAAAAGATTATATCCCAGACAGACCCAATGTTGTGTTCAGAGGAGCTCCTAACTTTAGAACAATCCTTACAAAAAATTATACGAAAGAGAATGTACTACAAAATAAAAACTTTTTATCTAGGCCGAAAGGTTGTTTTAAGTGCAATAAATGCATTGTGTGTAGAACCACAAATTTTTTTTAAAAACTCTAAAATTACTCACTTTTCCTCTAACATCACTAAAACTTCCTATACAATTAAAGAATTTATAGGCTGTAATACCAGAAATGTTATATATCTACTGGAATGCCCATGTGGACTTCAATATGTGGGCATGACTAAAAGATGCCTAAAAGTGAGACTGGCAGAACATTGCCGCAATATTAGAAGAGGCTACGAAAACCACTCAGTTTCTAAGCATTTTCTTACACATAATAAAGACCCTACCCTTTTAAAAATCACTGGGATTGAACAAGTTACTCTCCCATGGAGAGGTGGAGATATAACTAAAGCTTTAGGAAAAAGGGAAATGTATTGGGTTTTTCAACTTAAACCTCTCTTTCCTGAGGGTTTAAATGCTGAATTTGACCTTTTTAATTTTTTATAAACCAGCCATATTAAAATGTTACATTTTTTTTTTTGTATTACATATTCTTTTTTTTTTTTTTAATTCTTTATTTTTGCGGGTATGCAGAATTATAACTTGCTTAACATCAAGTGCAGATAAGGTGTCTTGTATACATAAGGTGTCATACATAGAATACATTCTAGATAAAAATCATGTAGTTTAATTGCACATGTGCGAGTCTACCCATTTTTATTTGGAAAGTCACGGCAGTCTCTCCTCCTGCTGAGCACAGTTATTCAGAGTCGCGTACTTGGAGGATGCATGTATTCAGCTTGATGAGCCCTGCTTGAGAAGGTTGGGGCTGTATGCTTGCTTGGGAGCTTGGTTGGGGATTTGGGAGTACTCGGCTAAATGGCCAGTGGCCGCTTATACAGCTGATTGGGGTGGGGGAGGTGGGGGACAGCATGAACTGAATCCTAGGCTATCAGCTTGCGGAGCCAGATACAAAATTATATATAAACTGAAACCTGTAAAGTAAGCCTTTAACTTAAACTTAAACTATAACACAATAGAGGCATATAAAGCTGACATATATACCAGGTACTTGAGCACATATGGAAAAGTCCAGCCCTTAGTCCTGTATTGATGGTCTCCTTAGGTCGATTGTGGGTGAATAGGCACGTTAGGTGTTAGTCCTGTCGCCCTCAGTGCTGTTTCCCTGGGAGCAAAAGGAGTGATATCTTCCACGTTCCACAGCGGGCGGGTGCTCGTTGGTGCTACCAGCGTTGAAAGTCCAAATGACTGGATGAAGCTATTCGCCTTGGAAATGTGTGACAGGTAGGTCGTATTTCCGGCATGTTCCGTTACCAGTCTATGCGGGCCCCATTTATAGGGGATGGAGTTCTCCCGTAGCTGCAGGGTGACGTGACGGAGGGATCTGCGCCACATGAGGGTCTGTCTTGATAGGTCTCTGTAGAGTGTTAAAGTGTCACCCTCGAATGTAACTGTGGGTGAGCCTTTTGCAGCCCCCATCAGGGCCCCTCGGTCCGAGTACCGAACAAATTTAATTAGCACATCCCGTGGTGCTTCCTGGGGTGCCTTGGTCGCTTTGGGGAGACGAAAGCAGGAGTCAATCCCTACTTGCTTAGCCTACTTAGGGACCAGTAACGTGGCTATGAGCCTCCTGCAATAATGTGGTAGCTCCATGTTGGTGACCAATTCGGGCACTCCCCTGATCCGCAGGTTTCTAGCTTTAGCCTTGTCCTCCATGCCGGCCAGTTGGGCCGTCAGTGTTGCACATTGTTTTTGCAATGATCCCAATGTAGCGTCCGTGGCCGTTTGCGCCACCCTAGTGCTCTTGAGGGACTCTTCAATTGTCACCACGCGGCCAGAGAGCTTAGAGACCTCGCCTCTGACTAGCGCCATGTCTGCATCAAACATTTCTTTAATATTTAGCATCAGCGCCTTTATGTCGGCTTTTGTGGCAGGTGCCAAATCCCCTAGCTCGTGGGGCTGTTGGAATTTGGTTTGTGCCCTGCTGGAAGCATGAACGGATTCAGGTGGGCTATCTTCGTCTGATGATTGTGTGGCGTAGGCCTCGCTTGGCGCCATCTTGGCCGACTCATGCCACTGCGCCGGGCGCATAAAAGTGCCAATATCTTGAGATCCGAAGCTGGGGTCAGCTCGGCTTTTCTTTGTCTTTTTCCCCATGGTGCAGGGGATTCCGGGGAACTAGTCTTCGGGTCTCGGAGTTAGTTTCTGTCGCTGGAATGTGGGTTTTAGCGGGTCGCGTTCTCGGAGCTTCTGTGTGCTGCGACTTGCTTGCTCAGGCGCTGGCTCCGCCTCCCTACATATTTTTTTTAATTTTATTTTAATTTATTTTTTAATTTTATTTTTATTTTTGTTTTATTTATTTTTTATTTATTTCTTTTTTATTTATTTTTTTATTTATTATTTTTTTACTTTTATTTTTATATTTATTTATTTTTATTTTCATTTTCATCTTTATTTATTTTTTATTCTTTATTTTTATTTTTATTTTATTTTTTAATTTTTAATTTTATTTTTATTTTTAAAGTTACATTTATTTGTATATTCATTTTTATTCATCAGCATTTGCTCTTCTCTCTTTAGATGTTTTATCTACCTATTGTCAGTATTCACTGTGACAATTATAATGTTTACTCATCTATTTATATTTTTATTTTATTTTGCAAATTACACCAATGTGTTACTGTCCCTATTTGTTTTATTGTATTTAGGTATATGGGGTTTAATTTGCATACAGCCATATATGAGCGGCACTTCATACCGCCCCCTTCAGTGATGTCGGATGGAGGCGTGTTTTATGGATGGAGACTACTGTCTTTTTCCAATGCGTGCGGTTGAGCCACGTGATCGCGCAGGTTTGCGATCACGTGACCACCCCCTACTACATTTCCCATGCTGCACTATTACTTATCATGTGATCGCATTATATTGCGATCACATGACTTCCTATTCTTTTTTATCCTTTTATTTCTACATATAATACTCGTTTTAATTCTAATACTTAATGATTACCACATATACTGTTTTATTAATATCATGTATTTTTTCTTTTATGTTTTGAATGGTTTTTTAAAATTAAAATTTTATTCATTGCACTGATGACGTCATTTTGGCGCCAAAGTTTGAATTAACATGTTTTATCTAAGTTTATATAAGTATCTATGTACCAGGCTGTTTTTTACTATTGCCAGTTGATAAAGCCCTGTGTGGCAAAATGCGTTTTGGCTATTATTTATATTTTATACTGTATTAATAAAGGAATATTGGCTCTTTTATCATATTTTTGCCATATACCTTTTTTATTTCATTTTATTAATTTCCTGGTACCCGGTCACTTTTCACCTTGGAGTCTACATACAGCCAAGAATCCTGGGTGGGGATTGTACCACTCGTGCGTTTATACTGAGCAGTCTATTCTGCTCATCTGAATGTGAGTATTTTTATTCTCTCATTTTATCTATTTTTACTTATACCCAGTGAGCACTATATTGTGTTTTTTATTCCTTTTCTTATACGGAGGAATCACTTCACCTATATCCTACCAGTGGGGGACAAACACCACTGAATGCCTAATATACTAGAGCAAGTATATGCTCAGAAATAGGTGAGTGTATTACCTCCCTATTATTCCTCATACTCTCAGTTATTTACAGACAATCTACACTATTGGATTCTCCCTGTTTTCTTTATTTTTCATGGTTACCATCGAGTCAAGACTTCGCTCGCATTAGGAGATCCTGTTTCTCATTGAATACATTATCCCTTTGCCGAATACAGTAAGAGATGAACATAAAGGACTGAGATCTTCATCTATCTATTGGAATTTATCTTAAGTACACCAAGTATTTGGACTATTAATTATTCATTCTATTAATTATAAAAAAAAAATTCTCTACGTTTCTTAGTGTATGCTAATATATTATATTTATTTGTTGAAGCGCGACCTATTATTTCTGTTTTTTGCCATTTCTTTTTTGAGGATTTTAGAGGGAACCTCATATCTATAGGTTGCAGCTATCTACCTGTTTCTAGCCCCTTACTATATCATACAGCGCTGATCCATTTTCCATTTGTATCCTAAGGAGAGCAGACTTGGTTGTAACTGCAGAGACAATTAACAGTATTTCCCCAGGCTAATCTTTTAAAACAGATTATTAGAAGAAGGATACGACAAAAAGTTTCTAGATACATAAATAGATAGAATAAGGAAAATAGACCGCAATTCCTTTTCATAATTGCAATCATCAGAATAGGAAGTATGATTTTTTTACTTTATCACCTAATATAATACCAGAGTGTTTGATATCCAACCATCTTTTAAGAAGCATTGGCCGTTATTACTAGAAGATGATTTCCTTAAATTACAGATGCCATTAAATCCTCCAATAGTTTTTTAAAAAAAAGGTAGGGTTTTTAAAAGTATTTGGCCCCCACTATGTTCAAAGTCATACAACTTAGACCCAGAAAAAGAGTGTGTTCCCTGTAGGACTTGTAAGAGTTGTAAATTTCTCCCTAATAAAATTGCAAGTTATACTAGCACACAAACTAAAGATATATTTTTTTTTAGCAAACAGGAGCTGAATTGTTCCTCTACACATGTGGTATATTTACTAACAAATGGATGTGAACAGCAATATGTAGGGACAACAGGAAGTTAAAATCCGTGTCAGGGTCAATGTCAGTGGCATTGACATGGCCCGTTCCCACCTCATGCTGTGCACACCTTTGTACCCCCCCCCCAATTAAAACACCCTCCTTGCTGCCAGGCCTGTGGCTGCCGTCATCTTTTCTTTTTACATGTAGCATCCATAGGCGTT